CTGGACTAGGGGGATTTTGGTAAGATCCAGCAAGAAGCATGCTTAGGATCAATTAACGCAAATCAGTCATGCCTTACAAGTTAATAAAAATATCCCAGGGTTGCATACTTGATCTATAAAGGGAGGGACTATATGAATACTAGTCAAAAAGGGGGACGGATAATCACACGACTGACATCCCGCCTCTCATGCTTTGGGACATACTCGTGCTATTGGGTCAGTCTTGCTGGCTCAATGCGAACAGAGATTACGTTTCAGTACACACATGTTAACGCCCCTGTGGGAAGATCAGAAGCACCAGGAAAGCTGACTTACAGAGGATGCCATTATATTATGACAGATCTTTTTATTGTGAAACCTCCAATAGGCTTCCAAGGAATCCAGGATTCCCCAAAAGATAGTAAAAACGCCAGTACTAAAAGGACAAAAATAGGTAATCTTGGCTACACTTATTTGATAGTCAGCCCCATTCAATTAAAGGGTGTTTATTTCTGAGTAGACCTTCCTGGGACTGCTCCCCCTCTTATTATAAATGTCAAACATGACACAACAGCCTGTGATTACCAGAAAAGTTATGAAAGACAGTTTCTGAAATCATGGTAGTAACCAAAATTCAGTACAGACTCATGAAACCATGCAATAGCTGTAAGCCCCCAATTCCATGATGCGATTTACCATGCAGTATTATGCTATGTAGGTGGGGCTATGCCCCCCCAAAGGTGGACATTGTACTCGGCTTAACAGACTTATATATGGGGGGGGGGTAGTTCTGTTTGAAAGCATTAGATTATAGAAGCAATGTCTCTCACAGTTACACTTCTTTTGTTGTGTATGTGAGCTTGGAAGAACAGGATATGGTCTTCTGCATTGTTTCTTTGTTTTATCAACAACTGATTACCTAATTCATTTCCAAGGTCACCATAAATTAGTGCAGTAGCAGCCAACTCGTTTCTTCAATAAATGCCCGGAAAACTAGTTCAGTACATGAAACATTTTTTTTAAAAGGCTACAGAGAGAAGGAAAATTACTGGGTTACCTGGAATGAAGACACCTGGAGAGGTAATCCTTAAGAGTAGGCAGCAGTAAGCAGACATTTCAAGAACAGTAAAAAAGACTTAAAACAGTATAAAGACTTATATGTACAATCACAATGTCTGTAAAGTACTAATTAATTACCTCTCAGTAGGTAGATATTACCACTGTATAGCAGCTGAGGCAAAGAGACAGGTGCTGGCTCTAAGCTGTGGAGTCTTGTGAGCAAAATTTGTACTTTGTGAGCTACTGGCATTAAAGATGTGAGTGAGCCATTTGGCTGCGGCATAAATCAGTTTGCTCTGGAGCCATCCTTCCTGAGCTAAGACAAAAATGTGTGCGCTGAAGGCTAAAAAACTGTGAGCTAGCTCACACTAACTCAGCTTAGAGGGAACATTGGTGCTGACCTAAGGTCACCCAGGAAACTCACAGTTCAACTGAGATCTGAGTCAGGGAGTTCCAACTATTGCACTTAACTGCGTACTATGCTGTACGCAGGATTATGACACATTTTGCTTGCCTCGTCTTTGGTGGCATTAAAACGCGCAATCAGCTGGGTTAAGAATCCCTACTTGCAGCTTAACACATCTGTGGCAATCATAAACATGGCTAACGGCAAGGCTTAAGAGCTTGGGTACAGAAGCAGCAGTTCCCAGGAGCCACCACAAGATTCCCAGTAAACGACAGTAATTACAGTGGGGCTTACTTCCAAGGAAAACACGTTGAGAATTAAGGTGACAATATATTTGTTCGTTCGAAGACAGGCTCTGAGTTCATAAACTTCACTTTAACCACAGGATTTTCCAGGGTCGTGGCAGAGAATTTTAAGAAAGTAATTAGACGCTTCTTTCAGCCACACAAATACCCACACACACACTTCATGCAAAATCTTGCCATATTTATAAAGGCAATCACATTGAGGCTTCTGATGGCTGCATTCAAATAGTTCCAAATGCATGTTAGTCAATACAAACCCTACCGCCTTCACAATAATCAACTATACTAAGCTTTCTCCTTGTGTGTACCCAAATTTGGTACACAAACTGGATTAGCAGAAAGCCAAACTCCTTGCTATGACATTACAGATAACTTCCCCCCCCCTTCCTAGTACATGCCAAACCCCAGAAGTCATGGAGGCACAACCTTTATGGGGCACAGTGAAACATTTAACCCTTTACATCCAAATGTAATCCTATGATTTAAGTGTCTGTACTGAAGAAGTTTTCCCATTTATCACTTAGCAGGAGGGCAGCTTGTGCAGGCTTTGTATTACTGCAGGAGTGATCCAAATGCTACAGGACGACTTTAGCTGGTTTTAATGGATACCTATTGAAAGATGCATAATTCTTATACAAACTCTCAGTAACCATATTAAGCCCTGTTTATTTCTGACACAAACATAAAATATAAAACTTTGACCTGACACTGCAACGGCCATACCTTCCTGGAGAAAATAGCACAGGTTTTTTCCCTGCTACATAATAACACAAGCACTCAAAATCAAATCCAGCACTCATTGTTTTTACCTACTCCCCTTTTGCCGTACTTTGGGCAGATGTGCAACTTCACATTTTGAAAGTACCTAGCACATTTTATCCAGGAAAGCATTTATTGGACACTTTAAAAAGGCAATGAATTCATTTTTAAACGGCTTAAAATGATTAGCAGGCCCTTGTGACAACCATATGCACACAAACATACAAACATAATTGGCACACTGCACAGCTGGTTTCAAAATAAAAACCAGTTACTCATGCTTGATATTTTTAGAGGAAGGTAAACATCTGGTCTAAGAGGGGCAGATGTAAACACACAACAGGCTCACCACTCTAACTATACAAGCATCCTGAGAAACAGTTCTCTCCCCAGCATATAATTTATTTAATTTAATACAGTATGCATCGGTCATGTGCTTTTAACTGACAGTTCAGCAGTACATTTATCTTGCACAACGTGTACTGAACTATGCCCCTAAGATAAATACCTGGCAACAGAAAGACAGCATACGAAGTCAGCCATATTGAGAAATGCTCATATGTTCTTCCAGTGTTTTAAGTGCCGGTTGGGGGGGGGGATTGAAAATTATGACAAATTAATATCCTGCCCAGACTCTTTAAATACATATACATGAGCACCTTTTCTTCCCAATACAAAGCAGCAGCAATGCAGGTGAGTGAGTTCACTTTAAACACCATTACCCAATTCTGGAATTGCCAGTCATCAAGCGGACAAGCAAGCTAAGTGATATAAGGTTATTTCCTTAAGCCTCATAAGCAGCCAGTTCACAGAAGCACTTGTGATATAACCACAACTCCCCCTTCCCAGGAAATCACCACCTACAGTTTTCCAGCGCTAGCAAATACTATTATCTGCTCACAGGACAGGTTTGTTAGGGGTGAAATGTTCCAACATACGGTATTTTCTCCTTCTACATATATAATATAGGGGGTGATGAAAGGGAGGGGTTTATTTCCAAACTATTAATGTACAGCGACTGCTTAATATCCATTGTTTAAGATATATACATTTGTTAAAGAAGTCTTCCTTAAGCAAATTTAGTACACAGTCATACCCTATCCATCCCATACATCCAACCAGATAAACATCTGTACACCCACTAGAAGGAGCAAACATGTATTAGCAGAGAAAAATGAATAATAACATCCACAAAGTTGCCAGAAGGCTTTTAAGAGAATTTAAAAAATTATATCCTTAAGATTTACAGCCCCCAAAAGCTCTTAATGTTGTGGGGTGGGGGAGAGAAAATAATCATAACACAGACACAGTGAAATCATCGTTTTCAGTATCAGAACAGTGGCATGTAGTGTTCCAAAATATAAATGCCCCTCTGAATAAAAGAATCTCTCCGTTTCCACAGCATTTTAGAGGACGGTAGGATATCAGAATACATAAATATGACTCAGAAGAATGAAGCAGCATTTCACACCCTCTGTTTAGGATTTGGGAAAAACACTTCCTAATTAAAAGTTCAGCACAGCCAGGATCCCCTAATTGCATCTGAAGAAGTGACCCATTTACATTGACGCTGGAATAAAATCTCCTTCAAGTGTCACTAGCAGTCTCCTTTTTCTCTTCCGGGGGAGGGGGAGAGAGAGGGGTGGGCTGTTAATTCGATTTAAAAGAAATCTTGGCACGACTAATCCATTACTTAAAAATCAACCAAGCCAATTTATTCAGCGAGCCTACAACCTGGGGACTAAGCTCGCTTGAACTCAGAGAGGGGCTCGTTTCGGAGGAGACAGAAATAGGCTTGGACTCTTTAAATAATATGCCCTGACTGACAGCTGTACGAGGTACAACCCGCTCCTGTTCATGATTCCGCTGTGTCCATCGGGGCTTCCTCCCAAGTAAACACCCAGAAGATGGCATCCCTGGGGACCCCCCAGCCATCTATCTGTTATTTGTGTGGGGGGGAGAGAAAATGGAGAGTGACAGCGACGGGGAACGTGCCCCCCCGAGGAAGCGAGCGCCTCGGTCACAACAAATGTGTTTACACGGTGCAGACTCGGCCCACGAAGAGGGCTGAGGCGGGGCGCGAAGAGCACAGGGTCGCCCCACGCTGGTTCCAAGCGGAGCCCCTCTTGCCCCACTCCCAGTCCGCGGAGATGTCTCCAAGCCTCCTTCCCTTCAGGAGGAGGAGGAGGAGGAAGACGAAGAACCCGGATGACTGCCCAATGCCCATCCACACGGCCTCGTCCGCCGCAGACACAGCGCGGCCCGGCCTCTGCCGTATTGTTCTCTCTCTCGCCTCCGCTTCCCCGGTGATGGCGGGAGAGGCCCGGCCGCCCCGAGGGGGGCAGGCAGGCAGGCAGGCTGAGGCGGCTGCTGCTCCCTCCTCTCCACCACCCCCACCCCGCCCGCCACTTCGTCGCCAACCACCAGCCAGGCCTGGGCGGCTCCGAGGCCTGCGCTTCGCCCTCCCCGCGCCCGCCCGCCCGCCCACCCACCACTTGGTACCGACTGGCGGTCTGGTGGTGGTGGTGGTGCTCCATTTCGGGGGCCGACTCCGGCCCGGGGGCTTGGCTTGCCTCCCTCAGCTCGGTGGCTTGTGGCGTTCTTCCCCGCAGCAGCAGCAGCAGCAGCCGCCTCGCTTTGCCTGCTCTCGCTTCCTTCCTTCCTTCTTTCTTCGTTTCCTCCTCTTCCTCCGCCTCCTTTCTCGGGCAAGCGGCGGCGGCGGTGGCTCCTCCTCTCCTTCACGCCCGCCTTCTGCCAGGCCCGCCCCGCTCTCCGTTGCCTCGCCTCAGCCCGGCAGGCAGGAGAAGCGTGCAGGGCAATAGGCTCGGGCTGGCTGTGAAGGGGGGAAACAGGCGAGGAGGAGCCCGCTTCACCGACTCAGACACCTGCACTTGATGTGGATTAGCATGGCGCGGTGAGGTAGTGCTGTCCTGGGCAAGCATTATGGCAGGCTAAGCCTATTAATTCCTCACTGCCTCCCCTCCAGAACTAGGGCAAAGAACTGGGATTTCTCACTCTTTGCTTAATTTGCTGCTATTCACTGCTTTAATCCAAGTTCAGCAGACTTATCCGTCTATTACTTATGCATCTTGACTGTAACTAGCCCTTCCTGGTAACTAACCCTACCTGTACCTTTCTTGTTTCAGTATATCTGAAGAAGTGTAAAGGTAAAGGTTTCCCTTGCTCAAAAGCCAGTCGAGTCCGACTCTAGGGTTGCGGTGCTCATCTCCGTTTCAAAGCCGAAGAGCCAGCGCTGTCCGAAGACGTTTCCGTGGTCATGTGGCTGGCATGACTAAACACCAAGGCGCCCGGAACACTGTTACCTTCCCACCGAAGTGGTACCTGTTCATCTACTTGCAATTTCTTGCTTTCGAACTGCTAGGTGGGCAGGAGCTGGAACTAGAGACGGGAGCTCCCTCCGTCATGTGGCACCCGGGTCTCGAACTGCTGAACTACCGACCTTCCACAGCCTGCAGTTCAGCGTCTTAACCACTTGAGCACACAAAAGCATATACCCAGGATTAAACTTTGTGGGTCTTAAAGGTGCCACTGGACTCAAACTTTGTTCTGCTGCTTCAGACCAACAGGGCTACCCCACCTGAAGGTGTTAGGTGGCTTAGTGAAATCTGGGACTCCTCGTGCATTTTGCAAAGATTTAAAATATTTCCTCACCGTTTTTCTGTCGTAGGCTCGAAGCAGTTTTTCATCTACACAGATAGGAAAGGTTTTTAAAAATCCCCAAATTATCAGACAACCAGCACAACAGGTCCACTTCCAAAGGTTCTTCTAAATAGTTCAGACTTGCCTTTTCCTCTAAACATACCCAGAGATGACATTTTTTGTATTCCAGTGAAAAAGCCAGAGTATAAAATGAAATCATCCTAATCTTCTTGAGTGCCGGAAGTGAAAGCACTGACCTGGATCATGAACGTCTCTTGCCTTGAAAACCCTACAGGGTTGTCATAGGTTGGCTATGGCTTGACAGCACTTTCTACCACATTAACTAGTTTAGCATAATCAGTGTGTGGATTTGAATTTTATATTATCATATTTCACCCCGTAATTCCTGTATTTAAGGGCTCTTTGACCCCACTGCTAAGTCCTTGTTATGCTTCCTAAACAAAAGGTGTGCCTAGTGAGAGACTTTCAATGCAACTTTGAACAGAAGTCCAGCAGCACCTTAAAGCCTATCAAAATTTATTCCAGCATAAGCTTTTGTGACAGCAGCCATGAAATTAAAAGACACCTGCTCCTTAGGAGGAAAGCGATGGCGAACCTAAACAGCATGATAAAAAGTAGAGACATCACCCTGCCAACAAAAGTCCGCATGGTCAAAGCCATGGTATTCCCAGTAGTCATGAATGGCTGCGAGAGTTGGACTATAAGGAAGGCCAAGCGCCGAAGAATAGATTCTTTTGAACTATGGTGCTGGAGAAGACTCTTGAGAGTCCCTTGGACTGCAAGGAGATCAAATCAACCCTGGAAGGCCAGATAATGAAACTGAAGCTCAAATACTTTGGCCACCCAATGAGAAGGGAGCACTCACTGGAGAAGACCCTGATGTTGGGAAAGATTGAAGGTCAAAGAAGACAGGGACGGCAAAGGATGAGATGGTTAGACAGTGTCATCGATGCAACGAACATGAAATTGAGCAAACTTCAGAGGACGGCGGAAGACAAGAAGGCCTGGCGTGATCTAGTCCATGGGGTCGCAAAGAGTCGGATTTGACTGTGCGACTGAACAACAACAACAAAGCTTTTGTGAGTCAAAGCTCACTTTGTCGGACAGTGTCCATCCAAAGCAGCTAAATTTATGCTTAATAGTCCAAAAAACAGAAAGGGGAGGGAGGGTAGTGGAAGAAGTGACATGAAGAAATCATGACATCTGAAGAATTATGCTGGGTGGGATCTTAGTCTTTAAGAAACCACTGGTCTCCTTTTTTATTTTTGCTGCAACTGACAAGCACAGCTCCTCCTCACGAATGATCACACCAGAGATCAGAAGACTTGTGGTTGGTGCTCCGGAAATATCACCCAGCCCACATGCCACCTGTTTGGAGCCTTGGCCAAAAGCTCAGCAGTTTGTACCAATCCCAAGAAAATGATAGGTAAGATCCAGGTTTGCCTAGTTACAAGGAGATTTTAATAAATGATCAGGATTCACAGCAACAGCAGGCTAACTCCCATCTGCTGGGCCTTGAACACAGCAAAACTAGCCAAACTCAATGACAGTAGGGATGCCAGACCCTCTGGTGGGGGCAGTGGTCCCCCACTGGCAGGCCTCACCTCTCCGCTGATCAGCTCGCCAGTGGAGGGGGGGACTTACTCCTCCAAAAAGGGAGGAACATCAGACTTTTCAGTAACATGCCTACATGACTTGAATGTGACCCATAGGTGACATAGGCACATCAGGGCGAGGCTCTGGGTTTGGGGCAAAAACTCTATGGTAGAAGCTAATTCTGTCATAGAGTTTTTGCCCCAAACCCAGAGTGTCGCCCCAATGTGCCTACATCATGTCCTGGTCACGCTGAAGACATGTGGGCACATTGGTGAAAAGTGGGATAAACTCCTGGTAAGCCCACCCCCACCCCATCCCCCACCAGCTACCTGGAGGGACCTGGCAACCCTAGGTGAGACAAATAGCTAAAACTAAACATTTTACATCCTTAAACACTGAGAGGAACCAGGCCATATCTTACAGCTAGTACCTGAGAAGAACAAGTCAGCTTTCTTAGATAAGAACTGAAGAAAGTACTGATGAAAACAGGCAGAAATGTTCTCTTGGGGGCGCCTTCCAGCCATCCTCCCAGTCCCAGGCAACTAGCAAAAAGTAATATGGAGTTACAGATGGTATACACCACCAAGTCACCCTTCTAAAAAGCATGAGCAGCACCTCACTTGCTCTCCAGCACATGTGCATAGTTGAGGACGATGGCTTAGGCAGCTGCTAGTGCAGCTCTGGGCCTCCATCCTAGCTGAGAATGGGTCTGTCGTGTAAACGCAGCAATTAATGTGCCTATATGATGAAAGCTTTGGAATTGTGAGGCTATCACAAAACAACCATGTGGGCCTATATGCACCCCTGCATGCTTAAAAAAAGTGAATAACCATGCTCAGTGTTCCCTCTAAGCTGAGTTAGTGTGAGCTAGCTCACAGTTTTTTAGCCTCCGGCTCACACATTTTTGTCTTAGCTCAGGAAGGATGATTCCAGAGCAAACTAAGTTATTCTGTAGCCAATTCACCTGCTCACAACTTTAATGCCGGTAGCTCACAAAGTAGAATTTTTTCTCACAGGACTCCACAGCTTAGAGGGAACATTGACCATGCTTCAGTTACACAACTTAAAGAAAACAACACCATACGCTCCCTAACGGCGGTTTTTTGATTGTTTTTGCTGTTCACCTTCAAATAGCTCTAAAAACAGATCTTGCTGAATGCCTCTCTTCAAATCTACAATCTATTTTTCTAAAGCATTTTTTATCTCACCCCTTTCTCCGAGTTCAAGACAGTGTACAGGTTTTTGCCAAACTCCAGGTGGGACCTGGAGGTCTCCCGGAATTACAACTGATCTCCATGGAGACAGATCAAGATGGGTAGCCATGTTAATCTGTCTGTAGCAGTAGAAAAGAGCAAGAGTCCAATAGGTCCTTAAAGACCAGAGGTCATTTCAGGGAGGATCGCGGGGGATCGCAGTTCCCCCGGGTGAGGTATGGGGGGCACATGACGAAGCCCCGCCCCCTGCTTCCGGCTGCCCCGCTTCCGGCCCTCACTCAGCCAGGAGGAGGCAGGAGAAAAGGGAGGGTAAGTTGCTTCCTCCCTGCCTCTCCCCACCCATGCCTGCCTGGGGCCAGGGAGGGCCTTTGCGGGGTTTCCTTGCACTCCCGCCGGCCTTGCAGGTCCACCGCCGGGCCCCTCTAACACTTTTACCTTGTTGTTTTTTGGAGGGGTATTTTTGCATTTGTGTGTGTGCATGTGTGCGTGCCGATGCCTGGAAGTCATGGGACCTCTGGCAACTCCTACTGGGGCAGGGAAGACGTTCAGAGAAGTGGCTTGATAGCCTGCCTCTATTCCCGGCCCTGGTATTCTTTGGAGGTCTCCCATCCAAATACTTGCCAGGGTCAGCCCTGCTTAGCTTCTGAGATCTGAAGAGATCAGGCTTGCCTGGGCTATCCAGGTCAGGTCAACACTCTTAGCTTGTTTATTTAAAAAAAAAACAATCCTTTGCAGCAGGGAGAGGAAATGGTGACTGTGTGGGCGGGACCAGGAAATCCAAACTACCCACAGGGCAGCCACCCAGGCGGGCTCTGCTGAGATCTTTCAGAAAACTTTGTAGTGATGTCGGTCGAGAAAGATCAGACAAAAGCTCGGGAAACCCGCCAACCCAGCGGCTCGAAAGCAATTAACAGCAACAATGCGAGTAGACAAATGGGTACCTACCCTTATATGGGTAGGGGGCACCCACCTCTGATGAGGACGTGTGGTGGTGACACGGACGGCGGATGGCGGCGCGATGGTGGCGGCGGCGTGCAAGTGCTGGCGGAGACGGAGCAATCCCTGGTGGCCGGAAGGAAAAACATCGGGCAACAGCGACGGCGGAGGCAGGAGACGCACGACGGCGTGTGACGCAGGCACGGTGGTGCCTGATGGACGGAGCCGGGCCGGGAGCACG